TGCAGTTTGTAGGAAACATTTTCTGCCCTGATTGCATTTTTTTTACTGATGTCGCCAGGAGACCTTTATATTGAGCATATCTGCAAAGTGTTCACCGCAGACATATTGTATTTGTTTAATTGTTATGTTTGGTAACTCAGAGTGCTTGGGTAAGGTTAGAGAAAGCCTGTTGTCTCAAAAGGATCTTTCCCACACCTTAACTAAGTGTATGGTGTCGTAGCCTATAGTATAGTGTTAAAAACATACTTAAAACAATCTGCTTATAGCACTGTGTAATTATAGTTATGAGCACTCATAAGTATCCAATCATGCTTCATAAAAAGAACCATAACACTTTATGAAGCAATTTATATTAACTTCTAAGGTCAAGTATAATAATACTTTGTAATTACTCATCACTCACTGAAATTGTTTTGCTTTTTTCATATGTATTATAATTCATTATATAAAGATGATATTGTTTTACAACAATAGGAATTATAACTGTGATCCTTGCTGAATAGCAGTGAGCAATCATTATGTTACTTGACCCATAAGTCACTTTGAAATACTTAATAATGTGTTCAGATTATTACTATAAAGCATTATGGATAGTTCGGAGTGCTGATAAATATAATTATTCAGTGCTTTAAGCAGATTATAACGTATTTTATGTAATGCATTATAGAAATGGGCTTCATAGAGACATTCATGGTATATAAACGTAGTTTGTAGGAGAAGAGCACGTGTGTACTGTACCTGTGTTACACTGTATTACTGCAATATGCATAATATTTGAGAAGTTTGGGAAAAGTCTCGGCTTGACCAATTTGTGGACTGTGAACACGCAAACACACACCGTGTTGTCCTCCCACAGTGTACTGTGCTGCTCAAAACCGGTGCCAGAAGCACGGACTTACAGTGGGAAGTTCATACCCGCAGACACACACGCACACACACACACACACACACACACACACACACACACACACAGTGCTTGATAGCCTACGTGTGTCAGTGTAATAAATCATGTAAAGCAGGTTGCTGGTTGTTGCTGATGCTACAGTCTCCGTCTGCTCCACATGATTAGGAAGAAGATCATGTGGAGAATCTCCATATGTCTGCTTCCAAACCTCTGGGGAGAATGTGTGTGTGTGTGTGTGTGTACAAACTAGTGGGTAGCCACTCAGCTTGCAGGCATCCTATCGGCGTGTGCGCGCGTGCCAGCGTGTGTTCTCCTGTGAACGTCCCCAGTGTGCGCCCATGCATACTGTGGGTCCCTGGTGTATTTGAGTGTACAGGTTCAACGTTTGAGTGTTTGTCGAGGGGCTAAATAATGCACAAAGAGACAGTAAGATGGAATGGATGAGTGTACATCTACTGCCGGCTAATTTTATCTGTGATTTATTACACTCTACTGTCCCAGTCACAGCCAGCTGTGATACATATACACACAGATCCCTACTGAGAATACTCAATACAATGGTAGCAAGTACACAAGCTCTCAATCATAGAAGGATCTCCTGTGTGTTTATCCTGTGTGTTAACTCTTTCATTTAGCTGTAAACATACTTATTATTATTGATAAGAACCTAGTTACTCGTAAAGGGAAGGCTATGAAAACATTTGCATCTGGGCTAGCGAGCGTTTCATCATCTTTCAGCTTATTGTTCTGGGTTTTACCATTTTGCTTCACTTGGAGCGCCTATCCCATTTGACGAAAACCCCACTAACACCTATTAACATCTGTTTTTTGCCCTTAGTGGGAAAGGTTACAATCAACATTCACTCCCTGGGACAAATTTATCGACAGCAACTCTGATCGGCAGTGCTGGAAACAAGATGTCTGGGAGGACACGCACATTTTCGCCCCTTTCTTGGTTTTTTGTCATCTCAGCCACAAATTTTGTCCGTTTGAAGGGAGACTGAATAAGTAAGAGATGTATAAAAGAAGTCACCACCAGAACACTGGCCTCCATTCTGCTGTGTGCTGTTTACTAAGCCTGTTTTGTGGCGGCGTGTTTGTGACGTGAGGCTGGTCTCATCCAGCATTCGTAGCAATACCTATGACAAACAATGCCATGAGACTGCAGCTCGTTCCCCGTCTGAAACGAGCAGTTGATGTTGATGTTTTTGTCACGCAACCTGTGCAACTTTCCTGTGAAGTTTCTTTTGAAAAGACCGTATGCATGTAAGGAGCAGAAATTGACACGTGATGCAGGCTTTCGTAGGGAAACGCACACAATATGAGAAGTAACTTATCGTAGGACATCGTAAGAACCGTTGTATGAGGATATAGTCGATAGCCTATTTTAGCAGGTTTTGTTGTGTTTGAAAGAAACTGCATATACGTGCTAATTTTGGTGAAGAAAGAGCATCTCTGCTTTCATCAGTGTTTACTTCCGCAAATGCGCTGGCTGAATACTCATTGCTAAAGCTAACCGCTAACAAAATAAATCCTGGTGGAGTCAAGGATGAAACCAAAATACAACCTTTTCCTCCTTTCTGCCACTTTGGATTGACGAGCCTTCGGGGGCAGCTCTACTTCTTCGTCCTCTCATGTTGGTTGGACTGAGGGGGTTCTCTAGGCTACAGTGACTCACCATCCCCTCTTGCGGAATAAGTGGTATTACCATGCAGGACAGGCAGGGGCTAGCTGGCTAGCATGCTCATTTCAGTAGCTATCTCTGCAACCGAATGCATGGACGTCTTTGATATAACGTCAACGCTGCAAACCTCTTCACATTCTGTTGATGACGTTGGTTCATTTTTTGAATGTTTTAAACTGAAATTCTTCCCCATTGCACCTTTAATGAGTAAAACTGGTGGTGTGCATCTTTTCTGTCTGGTGTAACATTCACACAGCCATCTTGAAACTTGTTCGATTCGTGTAATCCGTCACACTGAACTTCAAGTCAGCCTTCATCTTTTATCGAAGCTGAGTAGGTCACGCAACGTAGATTTCTCTGATCGATTTGCACTCAAACCGCATTTCCATGCGACAATAATGTCACACTGGCAGAATTCAAGCTCTCTTTTTAGCTGTGTTGTCACACATGGGCTTCATCATTTACATCATTTATGCCTTGTGTGCCTTGCTCAGGGGCATCTTGAGCAGCAGTTGTTGGGTGGAAACGTGGGTGCCTCGTTGGTAACTTGTGCATTGTGCAACCAAATACGTATATCTGAAAATAATGGCCCCATTGTCCCAACTGTCCTCTCGCCCTCTGCGGTTCTAGTTAATCTCAGCAGTTTCACTTTTGCACGGATCATGATTTTCTTTTCTTTCAGCGTCACTTTCTCAAACATGCACATCTTTTACAGTCTGCGTTCTCCCTCCCTCCGTTTCCTCCCTCGTTTGTTTGTTTCCCCCAAGTCTGCCTGCTGAGCTTATCCTTTCCTTCCTCCCCTCTGCCTCTCTTCATTCTTCCCATTCTCTCTCCCCTCTTTCTACTTCCTCCATCACACCCTTTGTTGCATTGTCTGCTCCTAATTCCCTCACCCCCTCTCTTTGGCTCTTTCTCTTTCTTTGTCTTTTTGCTTCCTTCTTTTCCGTTTTAGTGGTTTGCCAGGCATGTGTGTGTGTGTGTGTTTCTGTCAGTCTACCACAGCGCTGCAATTCATCATCATTTTATCTACAGCTCCCTTAATTGGATCCTATCACAGTCCAACCTGATGGGGGGGAGGGTGGAGAGACGGGGGCTCACTCGTTCACAGCGCCGCATGGATCTACTCGTGCGCACAAACTTCCACCCCCCCCATGTCTAGCTTCATAAGCCACTGCAAAGTTGTTGTCGAGGCCCGTTTACTGTTTTTCCTGCTTCCTGCAGAGAGAACACTGGGGTTTTACAAAACATTCAAGTCCACAGGGGAATGAAGAAATGAACGTGTGTGTGTGTGTGTATCGATACAGTTCTCGGGAGGCTTTCAGAACTTAAAAATGCAACGGAGGTTGAACTAAACAGCTAACATACAGCTGTGGTATCTAAGCGATGTGTGGTTTATCTACAATACATATTTTTTAGAAGCACTGGTGTTTTAATGTCAGTGATGGACGTCTGAGACAGGACCTCACTGTGCTGAAGGTAAATGGAGAAAGTCAATGAAGCTAGAACTCCAAAAGAATTGTGTGCGCAATTAGTTAAACTCGCTGTGCAGCAATTGTATTTTTTTGTTGTTGTTTGTTTTAGCAGCTCCCCGTGTATTCAATACGCTTTTAAGTAGTCACGTCACTGAGGACAAATCTGATAAAAACCTGATAGCAACCCAAAAAGTCAGAAATCTCAAAAGAACACGCGCTACACGGAGCAATTACAGAATCGCAACTGACTGAATATGCACAAATTACCTTTCCAAAAACACAAAAGAGCTGTTGGAGCCATCATTACGATCTGGAAAATCAACTTTGATAATGTGCCCCAGAACTACTTTACGTGTCACAATCCGACATCAGACCGACTCATTCTTTCCCTTTGACTGGGTAGAGTTCACAACCAGCGAATCATCGCTGAGTCCCGAGGACTTGCCGTCGGACTCATCACCGTGAGCGAGAGCGCTGCGGCTCGCCTTTTAATCATACGTCTCGTTAAGTAAGTCATAATTGCCATCGTTAATTGCCTTTTCCTCTGCCTCACGCCCTGATTGGAGCTGAGGAAATTAACATTGCTGAAATGGTCGCTCCCTATTAGCGGTGACAGCTTGACGGAGGGCTAAGAGGCAGGGGTGAAAAGAGAGTGGCTTGGCGACTCACTCCCCGTGGCCGTGCGCCTCAGTTTCAAGCCTTTGCCGCACCGGTCCATCACGGCTTGTCTCTCTGTCTCGCGCTGCAGCTAACCTACAAATGGGTGGAGCGGTGCGGCCGCCCGAATGGAGCTCCTGCTGACAGATTAAACTTTGCTGTGGTTGGTCGGTGCACTGAGACATTTGATCAGGATTAGCCGAGATGGTAAAAAGCCGATATCAAGCCCCTCAGCCAGCACCTAAACTCACATGTATCAAGTGCTTTTCTTTTCAAGCCTTACCGTTGTCTTCTGACACTGTATGCTGGTGCTGTTGAACCTCAGAGCCGGGACGCTGTGCGTGCTGCCCTGGATGTGGAAGATGCACTCATAGTTCCTCTGTCCGGACTGCGGCTGGGGCAGGTTCTGGGCCAGCAGCGTGATCGGCCTCAGGACTCCGGCGGGCATGTAGATCTGGGTGGAGGGCAGGATCTGAGGACACTCCTGGAGATGAGACAAATATGAATAAAGGAATTGAGACGTGTCTGGGAAAAGAGAAAACCGAAGTGGGGTGCAGATCTGAGTGGAGAGAATGTCTATTTATTCTAATTGACAATTTGTTGCGTATTAGAAATGGCATTGCAGAACTCCTTATGTGCACAATCACCTTTGAATCCTTTTCTTTCTAACCACGTACTTCTAGATGCATTCCAGCGTCCCTTTGTTCTCGTGGTGGAGCGTGTTTGATGATGGAGGCAGCCTAAAACTTCCAAATTATCAACACTCTTGAGGATCAACTCCTGTCCTATTTATGAACCGCTGAATATTGAATGCGGTAGTTACTTGTCAAAAACGAGTACACAACATTTTGGAATAAAAAACCCTTCCTAGCATTATTGAGGCTGTTATGGATATTAAATATGTTTTTTTTGTCGCTGCCTAAATGAATGCACTAAAGGACATTGTAATTCTTTCTGCGTGGACAAAAATCAGAGCCTGAGGCGGCGTCTCTGAGGAACACGGACGGTGTTAATTCTTAACACGCCGCACTGTGAAACAGCTACAGTCTAACGGATTAGAGAGGGAGATGAGTGAGGGGTCAGCGCTTCCATTCACCGGCTTCCTGCTGCTCTTCAATCAATAAAACGTTGGCGAGAAACAGCAGCTTCGCACCATATTAATTGAAGGGACGTAATTGAAAATCTCTGAGGGTTTTTCCCAGCCCGAATTAAAACAAAAGATGGAAGTTGTCAGATGGAATCCGTGCTACATCGCTGCTCGTGCTCTCGGATTAATATGCATTTCAACTGGCTCAATAAACTAGATTTAATTGTAACATATTTGTGTGTGGCATTGATACTGCAATAGCTACCTCCAGATGTTACATTTACATTGATAAAATGTATCACAACTATCCACCCTTATTAACTTTCCAAAAGAAAGAACAAATACTTGTTTCAAGAGATTTAAGTCAGTAATTTGCCTTTTATTCATTGTTCCAAGTTACAAAACTTATTATTTGTTAATTTATATTAAGTCTGACTAAAAGGCGGTGACTAGTTAAGACATTTTCTACAGTGAAAGTGGATCAAAAAGCCTTTGCAATATCATAAAGGCTGTAATTACCACTTAACAAGTCGTATCCACTAATGTGTGTTTGGTATTCCTCTGGAGATGCTCTAAACAATCATACAGGCCATACACATACCCAACTAGAATATATAAATGAAAACGTCTTCCACTTTAAGCGCCATTAAGCGGACTATAATTTTCCTATTAGGATAGCAAACGTTTATATCCGCAATGATAAATCAGTGGGAACTGCATTCTATTTAATCAGGAGTGAATACCTAAAAGTCAAGCCGCAGCAGCAGCCCTCATGATCTGCAGGGTGATCTCAATATGAGTTTGCTCTGTGCAGAGGTGCTGTCTAATGGAGCATCGGTAACGACTTGAAAGATTGGGCCTGGGAACGGCAGAGGAGACGTGGAGGGGAGCGAGAGAGAGAGAGAGAGAGAGAGAGAGAGAGAGGGAGAGAGAGAGAGAGAGAGAGAGAGAGAGAGAGAGAGAGGGAGAGAGAGAGAGGTTTGGACACAATGGCACCAGGAGACACACCTCTGCTCCCGTCATGACTGCAGCGCAGAGCACACCGACACAGACAGGTAGCATTGACGCCACATGGGGAGGTGAAAGGTGGACAAATCAAACACACTGGGATTTTAAACAGTGGTTTTCCTCTGTAATCCAATATATTTGCAGCGCGCACTAAGGTGGCATGTAACACGGAAAAACATGATAAAGTGGGGAAGTCATTTACGAATAAGTCCTGTTATGTCATTAATAATGACAACAGAACTCAGAGCATAGCAATTGAATCCACATGGCTCTCAACAGGTAGACGGCTGAGCCAGTGGCTAGCAGCTAACTAAGGTACCTGAGGGCTTTATCAGCACTAACCGCCGTATGAGCGCAAAGCAGAGCGGCGGCCATTAGCTGGCCAGTTGGGCACAGGACACTCACTAAAATGCACACACAGCCTGTCCGGTTGTGTAAACAAAGCGCAGTGAAGCTCATACAACACACATAGAGGGAGATAGACATCACTCCACTATATCTTTACATAGCAGATAGGTGTTTGCTGCTATATTAATACTGATTAACAATGGGTCAAATGAGCCAATTAATGCAAGGCTGTACAGAGGTTTTGATATCTTTTAGCTCATGGTTGTGGTTTCCACTTCGTCAACCTCGTCTCTATAGCTGCAGCAGTTTGATGCGTTTAGCAAAAAGCGGTGACAAAACCTCGATATGCTGGCCGGTCCCCAAATGAGGAGAGGCGACAATTTGGTGACATGTCAACGTTTTTGATTTCTTCTGCTGCCCCCAAGTGGCCAGAAAGTGTGGAAAATATTAATACACCTTTAAAACTATCCATAAACTAAATACAACAAATATTGATTGGCTCTTTTCTTTTCTTTTTGAAGTAGATGTCTGCCAACTGTCTCGGTCCACTTTATGACCACTGTTGGGTAATGTGAAGGCTGCTACTTGTAACGATCAGTAGGAGGCCGGGATGAGGTTTTCCCCCCGTTGGCAGCTCATATTTTTACATGATGTGAATGTGGCTGTGTAAGAGGAGGAAGAGGAGGAGGAGGAGGAGGAGGAGGAGGAGGAGGAGGAAATAACTGAGGAGAAGAGAGACAGAGAAGAGATCAAATCAATGCCAGTGAAGCCCAGTGAAGCAGATTGTCAATTAGTGAGGCTGACTGTTAAAGTTTAAAGTATTCACAGATGGCGACAGGCTGCTAATGAACTGCTTCTAGCCTCTAATAAAATGGAAAACAGGACTAAAGAAGCCCAGGAAGGAAAAGGGAAAGCGTGTGTGTGTGTGTGTGCGAAGAGATACTCAATGAAGTAGCAAGTAGCTCATCGTTGTTAATGTCGGAGAGGCTGGGTTCAAGCCTCTGCTCCAACTGTGGTATGGCAATCCTGTCTGGCTCACTCACACACATACACACACACACACACAAACACACACACACACGCCCTCTCTCTCTCTCTCTCTCTCTCTCTCTCTCTCTCTCTCTTTCTCTCTCCCCTAAGGTCTGTTCCTTATTACTGATGCATCAGTGTCGGGATAAAAAGCATGGCGTCACATTCCTCTGAGGAACACGATAACATACAACACATACAAAGGCATTCCTTACATCGGGCCTATATGTATAAGTATATATACATATATATATATATACACACATACAGTACAAAGACTTGCGCAAACACATAAAGGGAAACGAGTGGGACACACGCATGTACGCAGAGGGAGGGAGTGAGTATAGACAAAAGATACGGGAGCAGAGGATTGTGGGAGCTGTTTCATTAGGAGTGGTGACAGGTGTCAGAGCCGAGTCTGCATCAGATAGCGGCGCAGTTCTACACAATGAGACACAACAATCTCTTTTACCTGGGGGATTCCTCTAATCCCTTCGCTTTCGCTCCTCTCCTCTTTCTTTCTTGCTCTCACTTGATCTTTTTTTAACATTCTCTTTATCTCGTCCTCTCTCATTGTTGTTTTTACCTTTATTTTATCCGGGGATGAGCGTTAACCAGTTCTGACCGCTGGAAGTTTCCCCAGCAGCTGCTGCTGCCGGCACACACCATCTACACAAATGCCTCGTTGAGATATAAATTTACTGCGGCGCAAGTCGGGGATGAGCAGAGATAAACACGGATAAAAGAAAGAAGGATGAGGAGAGGCGAAGCGAGAGGGAAGGAGGGGAGGAGATGAGGCGAGGTCTTGGGAGCCATACATGTGTTTATTAAAGTGGGGGATGAGAGTCGAGGAGGTCAAGTTCCCAACAGAGCGAGGCGGGGACCGAGCTCTGCAACATGGGAGACATTACACACATATATATATATATATATATATATATATATATATATATATATACTAAATATTTCCCAGGCGAGCAATACAGACACACACAGACACACACACAAACTATGTTACATCTAGCTCTGAAATGCACATCATATGCACACACACAAACCAAACACATGCGCGGCTATCCTCACACACCGACTGCTACGCACACACCGAGCCGGAGCTAAATCTTGCCCTCTGGCTGTGTGCGGTGAGCTAGTGCAGACTGAGCCTGTGGAATGTTTTACAGTAGCCTTGGGGCCAGACACACAGACACTGTGATCAAAGGAGGGAAGGTAAGGAGTCCGTCTGCCGTACTACCATCGTAAAATCTCCAGGTCAGTGTCGGAGCCTCTGGGATACTATTTTTTTTGGAGCTGATTGAAATATTCCCAATGTTTTTATTTATATGGTGGCCATTTTGAAGAAGAAAACTGGAAACAAAATGTACACTATATGCATGTTGCTATGATTTGTGACTATAGTTTGATCACATAGGAGGAATGGAAATCCCAATATGCACACTGAGATCTCGAGAGCATCTCTTTTCACAGGTTACCCTGTAGAAGGAGAGGCACAGCTGTGATCGATAACAACAATGATGCATCGGCTCCAGGGTCCAGTTATTGGACATGCAGGCTCGCGAGCATGGCTTATTGGAACGGTTCAATGGGACGGAACCATTGTTTCCAGCATTCACTTCACCTGCTCTCTTCAAAACGGCCTGCTGTGAATAAAGGCGTACAGCATGTCATACACAGAGGAAATATTGGAGATTCTCAATGGAAGAACGGTGGTAGAAGGTGGTACGACGGTGCCAGGGTTCACTATGTACCGGAAAACTAAATTTAGGAGCCCGGGCTTTTCAATCACTGAACTCAACCGGCGTATACATGGTACATGCCTTTAATTCCTTTGGCACAAAACTGCGAAATACTATCAAATTGTTTACTTAAACCACTGTGAAGAGTACAATAGCCTATGGAATAATATACCAATAACGCGTCATTCATTTCATATAGCTGCAAGACAGTCAACGTTTGTTCGACCCGTCAGCAATGAGCCAGTTTAGCACCGAAAA